TGAGATATTTATACCGTGTCACACTACTGCCGAGATTTTGAGCGTCCAAAACTGTTATTATTGATCCTTCCATTAATTATTAAAAATTGGTTAGGTTATGAATGATAATTATTCATGAATAATTCAAAATGTGCCAAATTCTTTAAAATACTGAAAGATATAATTGATTTCTTTTGAATTTAGAAACTTGTCAAATTGTTTTGACTAATTTTCCGTTTAAAAAAATAAAAAGACATAAAATATTAAATATATATATATTAATAAACGCAATAGTATGTTATACAAATACTATTATGTCTTTCCTTCCGCGAAAAGACTTTTTACACGCGTTATATATTTTAAAACCGGCTCTATCAAAATAAGCGGCTCCCCCGCTGAATGGTAAAGCTTCAGGAAGGGAAACCTTCCCCATTTGCAGGCAAGGTATTCGGCAGAAGTTTCGTCATGTAGACATTAATATCCTCTCTCCTGCGCGTGACGCGCGCAAAAATTTATACCGGACGTAAAAATATATACATGTACAGTAGCGTATACGAAAGCGAACTACAGCGAGCTACAAATGTCGCGGGGAGATTCCGTCGCGTAAAACGGCGGTCTCTCCCAAGATTTATTTCGCCGTGTGTCTGCTTTAACAGACAGGTCAACTTTCATCTCGAAACCAAACGTAGCGATGTTGAGCGAGATCTGATACATCTTGAATATTATCGAGATTAAAACTACGCGACATAGTTTTCGTGTAGTTTTGGACGGACGAAAAAAATACATAATTCATATTTACATTTATTTTCTTTTACGTTTAACTTGACAGATATTTATGACTTATTTTAATCGATTTTCAGAACATTGTTAAAAGAAAAAGATGTCGGTAAATTTTATTTGTGATAAAACTTGTATATGTTTGATTAAGCTTCTGTCGATATGCCTGCAACTCTTGTCCATGTTTTTATCTGATTTTTATTACGAACGATAGTCACTCTTATTCGAATCATATTGAATTCAATGGCGAGTTTGAAGCATTTGGCATTGGTAAAAATCGGAAAAACGACACGAATTTATTTCGAGGAAATTGCCTGTTGTCAATAGAAACATATTCAAAGCGAAAAGACGGTATATTTGTCTGCTCGTGCAGCTTGCTTGTAATTGGTTTTGAATTTGGAAAATAGGATCTCGTCGAACACGATTGGGATTTTTGATGTTTTTCGTTAGATTTCTATATTTCTGCTTTAATACATTTATTTTTATATTCTGCGATATATCCATTTCGGGCAAAGTATTTTCTTTTTATTTCAATTATATGCGTCAATATACATAGCTGACGTGGTTGTTGTATCTACGCAACCAGCAAGAAATTTCTATAACGGATAAAGTTACCGCTGAGTTTTAATGGGTTCGTAAAAGCGATTAGCTGCAAGTTATTTTAATAGCGTTTAACTTTCCTTGAAAACGGTAAAAATTGCATCAGTGCTTGATGGCTCGTATTGACTTAAATATTTTCACTTAAATATTTTCACTTAAATGTTTTTAAGCAAACGAAAGAGAAAAGTCAATTTTTACTTAGTTTATCTTATTTATAAAAAAGGCAATTTATATTTTGTACTACGCTAACAGAAATTACGGAGGGGGAGGAGGAATTTTTCCGGCTGATGCGAGTACCGTCAGAAATCATACACACGCGTGTTGCCTCAATCGAGATGGAGGGCACTCAAAAGTCGAGGCAACGTAAAAACGTTTCAACGAACGGTTTCCTCTTTTCTCCTTTTTGAGTGCCATCCTAACATATCTTCGCTCGAGGACCTTTGTCGTGTATCTCGAGGACCCCGGCTATCCGCCGCATTGTGTCGCGGATTTTCCGCCCCCCATCTCGAAAGATGCCTCCCACGATTTACGACTATCGAAACCCGCGTCTCTGCCAGAATCATCCTTCGATTGGCAGTCCTATTCAATAATTCAACATTCTCCCAACGAGCGATAATACGTCATTATATGAAAAAAAAAACGGATAGGAAGTAATTATAAATATAAAAATACTTAAGAGTTTTATTTTATAGAGTTATAGAATTCATTTATCTGAGATACAGCGGATTTTATTAAATTTTTTCAATGTGTAGCGATTCAAAACAAATATTTTTCTCATTATTTTGCATTTAAATCCATATCGTTTTTTAATAAGAAAAATAGATTAAGCTTCAAATAACGAATGCTGAATCAATTTTGATCCGTAATAGAATTTTTTTATACGCATGTCGCAGATTAAAATTTTGTTATAAATGTTATATATATTTTATTTTTATAAATACTTTTTTCTTTTTAATATTATTTGTACATGACAATATTAAAAAACAAAAAAATGTTTTTTAAATAAAAATTAATATTTCTGAATAAATTTTATTTTAAATAAAAATTAATATAATGCACACATGAAATATTTGTTTCGATTATCACACACACACATGAGTTCTATAAAATATACTTAAGATATGGGGCATGTGTGCGGGTGATCCGGCGTCCGCAGGTGGAAAGTTAATATAGAGTTATATTTTGTGCGCCTTATAATTCTATGTAATATACTAGGAAAAGCGAGCATCAAAATAAGAAGTAGAAGAAATATATTTCGAATTTAAAAGTATTAAAAATAAAATATTGAGAGATATAGATTTTTCTTTATTTGAATAAAATTTTGAAGTTTACAAATTTATATATTAAATTCTTAGATCAAAAAATTCTTAAAGTTTTATAAAAATAGATACCAAATCAAGTTTTATATCTTTTTATATCTTTCAATAATAAGATATTTAATTAAATAAGAAACAAATTGAAGAATAAAACACAGAATAGTACTTTATTCCGAATACTGTTATTAAAACAATAAAAGATAAGAAGCTAACACACACATATAAATATAATCGTTTGCGATAATATTTCTTTAAACGTGTATTATTTCCTCTCGTTTTGCTACCCTTTACATACATCGACATTTTTATTGCTTCGCGATCCCGTGTTAGGGATTATTCCAGTCAACGCGAGGGACAAAAAGAGAATTGAAGCCGTTGGTTTTTTTCGGTGTCTATTCCTCTTTCGCGACTCGACGACGACGATGCAATACCCTTCTCGCGTGGCACGGCACGTATTCGAATTTTCCATGCCGAATCGCCCGAGACTTCTCTTACAGGAATTTCCACTCCCCTTCGCTCTCTCCCCTCTCCGTTCTTCCTTTTTCGTTATAGACGGGGTAAGGTATGCAGGTCGGACTATCGGGAAACTTCCGTTTCGAAAACTTCGCAAACACGTGATGCGCATGTTTGTGTGAGCATCAGAAGGATTATATTATTAATATTAAATGTGAGAATCTCATTTCTAATACCGCGATATTAATTCTCAATTTTTCTTTTCTTTGAAAAAGGAAAGGAAAGAGAGAGGGGCAAATAATCTCTCATTTAACATTTTAATTATGCGATTATAACAAGTTTTCATAGCCGGTTTTCATATAAAAATAAAACGTTCGATCTTACGTAAAAAAAGAGTTACGTATCTTTAGAAATGCATTATTGACAGGTTCTCGAAACAAACTCATGCGTTCTCATTCTTGAGATGTACACGGTGAGCAAAAAATATATCGAATTATGGAATGGATAAACTCTTAGATAGAGAGAAGTTTAACATCTCTCATTGCGATACCGATGTTATTTCTGAAATTTTCTCGTGCGTTATACGCGGTAGAGTATTGAACGTTCTGAGTAAATAAATGGAAAGAACGTATGTAATTCGTAGTTGTGTTCTCGATATCCGCGAGGCAAAATTGTTCGCGAGTGTTGTCGCAATTTTCCGCTGTCATATATTGAACAACAAAGTTCGCTGTTTGTAGATGCATTTTTAGACTTTCTCGAATAATATGTTTCTTCGAGCTCAACTGAGTCAATTGAATCGTTTGATAAAGAAGCTGCGAATATGAGACATGAAACTGTATATAAAGCGTGAAACTGACGTAGAAAAATCTTGCATTTTTCTTTAAGATAAAATAACCTTTTAACAGATTCTCTAAAAGATGGTCCTTCAACAGACTTCAACATTGTTTTCTAAGTTCTTTAATTAAAGATTTCTTACTAAAGATAAAGCGTTAAAGTTCCATGTCTCGTATTACCAGCGCGAGCGTTAACAAGAACTAAAGATGAGCCTCGTTTATACCGTAAAATATTTTGTCTGTTCCACAAACTTGACAAAAGAAGAGCGATCATAAAACTTTGTCCATCTACAAGGAAAATGAGTTTTCTATAGGATTCCAATTTTATAACAAAGGGAGTCTCACGCAATATATTCGTCGTGAATTTGCAAAGAGAAAAATCGAAGATATAAATGTGTGTGTTCTTTCTCTCTTCTCCAGTACTTCGCCAAATTTATTAGAAAATGACCCGAACACGCGCGTCTTTTCATGGCTCTTTTTGTACGCGTTCCTTATACAAGAGATAGATTTTCAAAGTCTTTTCCCAAGTTTTGCCGGTGCTATTTCATCGATATCGCCGACGCC